CCCCCCCCCCCCCCCGACCCAAAAAACAACCTGCTCTACTTTATCTGTGAAGATGCAAGATACCTCCCCCCTACCCATCTCCAAGACACCCTAAGCCCTAAACCGTCTGATGTAGGGGTAGGGGCCTTAACAGTTAGAATTTGGTTTTGGGCTCCTTTATTTATAATCGATGTACAATAAGAACCCTAACAATAGTATTTGGGTAATTCTTTTAGGCTTCTATACTACTTACGAAGGCCCCGACGGTCTCAGCCCTGGGTTCCCCAACCAAGGTTTAGGGTTTAGGCCCTAAACCCTAAACCCTAAACCCTAAACCCTAAACCCTAAACCCTAAACCCTAAACCCTAAACCTAGGGTCTGAGCCCGGCACGATGGCTTCCAGCCAGAGGAACTTCCAAGCCCGGAACTCGGGCAGAGTCTCGAGGATGACGGCTGCACCTGAGTAGAAACCTGTATGGGTGTGCAGTGTTCAGGGTGTACTTAAAGGATCATGGGGCTTAGTAAGTAGGGTTATAATTATCTTAACTATACTTATAACCCCAATTAAGGGACTTGTAACCTTACTTACTAAGTCCCATGATCCTCCAAGCTATCAACACGATACAGGTTACTAATAAATCCCTTGCATTCGACCCTGGCAGACAAGCTGCTGGATGCCACGATCAGAAACAGCAAGCTCGCCTGGACTCCAACGCTTCCCGCGTATCTTGTTGCATCGCCTAGAAGTCCAAAGCCTTTAATGTAGGAGCCTTAATAATTCGAATAAGGTTCTGGGGCCCATTATACTATAATTGTACTTCTAATCAGGAACCCCCAAAATAGTATATGTAATTATTTAGGCCCCTACACTACCTAAGGGTCCAAGTCATAGCATAGTATTTGTTGCCCAAGTATCTTGAAAGTAGCTACGATGTCGGTACTTGAACCCTGTGGGTTTGGATCAGCGTCATGGCGGTCAGGACTGCCTTGAGGTATTGATTACGGCTTCGGGCACCTGTTGTCAGGGCTCGAGGAGACGCGTAGCGCCACAACTGATGCAGGCTCTACCTGGACCCTAAAGAACCTCCCTTTTGAGGGTTCCTTCTTATGATTTCCTTATATAAGTCCTTAACACGGTAGTCTTCAGGGTCCAGGTAGGCTCCAAAAATATGCCACATCTGTCGCCGCCGCCCGAAGCTAAACTCTCAGAATCTCACCCCCTCAACCCTCCGTTCTGAATGGCCAGAAGGAATCGACTGTGACAATATACTACAATATGAAAGGGGGGCATAAGGAATATGCACTATAATATGAGAGATCCCCAAGATTCCCGTTTCGGGGTATCTTACATGAAAAATCATAAGCAACTATTACTATGAGGAAGCAAGGACCGTGTATTGGTAAAGTACAGTCACCACGGAACTATAATTTGAGGAGATACCCGTGACAATTTGTCCGAGCCTCATATTGATATATAGTAGCGTCGTACAATCAGAAGAGCACTGAAAGGAGAAACCATTAAGGCTTTTCCCGACGATTTCACTCAGATAACAGGGTTATAGGGAACTATACGGACATAGTACCCCTAAACCCGAAACCCTAAAACCCAAAACCCTCAACCCTAAACCCTAAACCCTAAAAGCCTAAACCCTAAAGCCTAAACCCTAAACCCTAGTAGCTTTTCCGAGATCTACGTCATGCAGTCCACGGCCTGGAACACCGCGGCGGCTGTGGAAGAACGGGGATCGTCCACAAAGGCCTCGCTATTTAAAGGATCATGGGACTTAGTAAGCAAGGTTATAAGTCCCTTACTTGGGGGTATAAGTATAGTTACCCTAATTATAACCTTACTTACTAAGTCCCATGATCCTCCAAGTATGCTTTGGATCCCCCAAAACCCCGCCTCGTCTCCTGGGTCGATGTTTCTGGAGGTTGACGTTTGGGAGCTTAGAGGGTTTAGGGTTTAGGCTGAAGTATATAAACCCTAAACCCTAAACCCTAAACCCTAAACCCTAAACCCTAAATAGGAGTTTAGAGGCCTTAAGGTTTAGTCTTCGGCTTCGCGGTGCTGTATCTCTGCTTCTTCTGTCTGGTGCTTAGTAGGGAATGGGGGAATGGGTAGTTATAGGGACTACTATAAGGGACCTTAAGGGACTATCATAGGGATCCATTCCCCCATTCCCTACTAAGCACCAGACAGTCTTATGAACAAAGTCTACAAACTGTAAGCCACAAGTAAGCACCCCGTCATCCTCAGGTTCCACTTAAAGGATCATGGGACTTAGTAAGTAGGGTTATAAAAAGGGTAGCTATACTTATAACTTATAACTCCAATTAAGGGACTTATAACCTTACTTACTAAGTCCCATGATCCTCCAAGTATATGGGTAGTTTTCTAAATTTGTGGTCCGTTTTTAGGTCCCCAACATAGTACGGCACCCTTCTAAGAAAGGACCCTAAAGGGGACCCTAATTTAGAGAACTACTACGCATATGTTAAACTGCAGGGGTGTACCCTCCAAGCAGCTGCAGGTTTTCGGCACTTGCAATCAAATTCATGCCGCATTGCCTCGCCGACCCTCGCACCGGCGGACTTAGGGAGTTAGGTCACCCATAGGCCCTAAAGTAGTTCCTTTTCGGGTTCATATATAGAATCCTATAAGGCAACCCCAAAAAAGAATTACTATGGGGCCTATGGGTAGGGATTGAGGGCTTAGGGATTTACTGTAAGGCTTAGGTGTCCTAGGGTCAACAATGCACAGGGCATCTGACTTTGCAGATCCCAGAATCCTCTTTGCTGCAACAAATCATACCTCTAGTCTCCATTGTAGTTCCTTTTTTAGGGGGATACCTTATAAAATCCTTACTATATAATTGGTTAAACCAAAAAAAGGAACTACAATGGAGACTATAGGTAGCTCGCCTTAAAGGATGCCAGCCACCACACCACTCTCAATGCCTTGCGCATCAATGCCACGGATCCACTTGATGAAGCCATTCAGGCCCCATTGGGGACCCCAGGAATTGGCGACCCACCAATAATCCTTGCCTCCCTCCACACCCCAACCAGTGATCCGCATCACATGGCCCCCACAGACTTTACCGGAGGGCACGTAGACGCCAGCGGTGTAGTTGGCCATGGAGCAGGTGGCTGCAACTTGACAACTCACAGATCCCCGTGCCAGGATCTCTCCTTCTAGGTTTCTGAGTGACCCCTTAATAATAAGGGTACCCTTTTTCCTGTTATTCAGTTTTAATAAGGGAACAATACAATAAAAAGGGCAAAAGGGTACTACTCAGGAACCTAGCCTTGGATGTGTCTTGCAGGAACGCTGTACCATCTCGCGGCCTTCACCTTGTTCTTCCAGTAGGGAGTTGGGAAGAACTCATCCGGGCATGTGCTGAAGTTTCCGGGTGTTGCGAAGGACTTCTGGCATTCTGGCCTGTTCTTCCAATCCGGAGAATGACAGGGAGGAAAAGGATATGGAGCACAAGTGGCGCCCACATGTCGGTGCGATTGGATGTATCCTGTCCCATTTACTGCACCTACCTCAGCATACCACTTCCATGCAAATTCCAGCTGCCCGCCAAAGCAGCCACCCAACACAGGTCGCACACAAGTAGGCAATTCGGAACCCTCAATGGTACTGTTGCAGTTTGCCAACGGATCGTCTGCTGATAAGATCGTGCTGTTGTCGGCTTTTTGTACGCACAGGCGATCATTCATAGTTGAGACACTGCCCACGGCCCAGCATGAGCCACACTTGCTCTGATCTCGGATGTGGTTCACCACACTGGCGCAGTATGGCCATGCCGAGGCAACCTCGAAATCCTGAGGGATCGCACCATGCAAAGGAAGCTTGGGCATCGGCGATCCCACCAAGCTCTTATAGTCGGCATCTCCTGGAATGATGGCACCAAAGGACCTTGAATTCGCTGCTTTGCTCAAAAATGCCGTTCCCCATGATCTAGTGTAAGAAACCCCTACTGTAAACCGTAAGCCCAAAACCAAAAAATCATCCTAAGCAAGGCCACAAGACCAGGGTCCAACATCTGCACGGCGGAATTGAAGCAGCGTATTGGCATCACAGCTCCCATCCTCACAGTCCTTCTTGGAGGTTCATGCGTAGTTATAAGTGGGGTTATAAGTCCCCTAATATGGTTTATAATTATCGTTACCCTACTTGTAACTACCCATGAACCTCCAAGTTGCTGTGCACGAGCGTGCAAGCCAAAACGTAGAGCAGCACTGCCATGGCTCGAGCTCTCCCGAAAATGGTTCAATAGTTTTAGGGTTTAGGGTTTAGGGTAATAACAATATCAGAGCAATACTACTTCTCATAATGGTCATAATAACAATATGAAGACATGCGTAGACCACCCGGGAACAGAAACTTCCCACCAAAACCAACTGAGCAGTGATTATCTATTTAGGGGTTTCCAAAAATAGGGGACCCTACTATAGTACCCTAAATAATGGGATTCTTATTATAAGGACCCCAAAGGTACCCTAATTGTAGGAAACTCCCGTTTGAACAGGCGTTTACCATGTCTGGGGTCCCACTCCTTCTGACCGTTTTGATCGCAACCAACCCTCTGCCAGTGGAACTGATCCGGACTGCTAAACAATGAGCCACAAAGCTGTTTTGCGTACCTTGCCGCACACCCACTCATGCTTCGGAGAAGTAGTAACTTCCATGGCATCTCACAAAGCCTAAATGTGCCGTCTTTGGTCTTGCTGGTAATTGGGCTTAGGTTGGCTTGCTTCCTAAACCCTAAACCGACGAACCCCGAGCCCAAAAGCCCTGCACCAAGAACTGACCACTCCCACAAACTATTTCCGGCAACAGAGAATCGCGCGCAGTGGTGCGGTTGTATGTCAGGGTGCACGGTAGATTCTCCCGACCATCAACAGTACTCTAATAGGCATACTTGAGCTAAAGTCGTCATGGCTCATGCGCCATCAGCTATTTTCGGATCCCATCCTGCGTATGGCCACTTGAGTGCATGTCTATGCATGTTCTCATTGGTCATCAAATCGCCATCCATTGTTACTGACGGATACTTCCGTCGAACTCGTCGCTTTCGCAGTTCTCCATTGTATTGACCGTCTGCATTCAATATCTTCGTCGTCTGCTTTTTTCCATAATATGTTCCTCGTATTCCGTGAGCGTTCGAATCTACTGTCTGTCGTCGTCCATATTTCGGTGCTTCGCAAGAAGGCTAGTTACGTGAGAGCGCAAAGACCTACAATCCCCGAAGTAAACCTTTAAAGTGCTCTTCCAGATTCACGAAAACCTGCACTCAATCCATGAATTCAGTGCCTGTTTTTGTGGATTCAGATCTGATACTTCCCCCTAAACCCTAAACCCCTAACCCCCAACCCTAATAAACCCTAAACCCCCAAACCCCAAACCCCAATCCCTAAACCCTAAACCCCCAAACCCTAAACCCTCAACTGCGACCTTGGAAGCAAACAAAACTCCCGGAGCGGCCTTGAGAGAACTGCGCGTATCCACCTCCTCTTCCCGGATCGAGCTGGTCGGGCTGTGCTCCATTGCTCAAGGGTTTAGGGTTTAGGGTTGGGTTTGGGGCACTACGATTAGGGGCCTAAAGAATTACCACTACTATTTCGGGGCCCCTGCCTTGACTATTATAGTATAATGTGCCCAAAAATTCTATTCTAGTTATTAAGGCCCCTACATTACGCTTTTCCGTCCCTAAGGTTTCGGATGGCATAAGGGCTGTATTGTTCATGAAGCTGGTTGACGAAGAAACTAATCAGATAATGTTGTGCACGGCCTTCAGGGTTTAGGGCTGGGCTTAGGGCAATTCTGTGGGTTTAGGGTCCAATGGGGTTCGGGCTTCTATAAGCCAGAATTCCGGCAGCAAAGACGAAGACAAGCACCGCTTCCATGACCGATCGCAGAGCTCAGTGCATACGCGGCTTGTAGTATCCAGCCTGTCGCAAACCCTAAACTGAAACCCTCCAAACCTAAAGAAGCCTTCTCGAACCCCGTTGGAATTGTAGCGCCCTCATGAGACCCACGGTTTAGGGTTTAGGGGACCGTTTCAGAGGAGCCCCTTGAGAGCCCCCCCATGAAGGGCGCCTCACACGGCCAGCAGAAGCCATGGCGGCATTGTGCTCTGCCAAAGGTCGACCTTTTAGGCTTCCAGGCACCTCCGATCTGCGTCGGATGCGGATTTGGCTTTCAGGATTCAAGGCGTATCCATAGGCCCCATAGTAGTTC